TGAATTAGATTTGAGCGCTCACTCTGATTTTATTTATAGTTTATTTATTAAACGATTTATGAACTTTTCAGGTAACGCTGTGGAAGGAGTCGATGGATGGTCAGTGGGCGTGTATCAGTGATGTCAGCAAAGGCCAGGGCGCAGTCTCCACCATCACAGACACACAGCAGAATGAGCAGTGACCCTCGAATTAAAACGCACACACCCATTCCGTGACCCCTGACCCTTCGATGATGACCCTCAGCCTTCAGAGAGGAAAGAATAAACATGCTGGACATTTGGACTGAAAACAAGACGCCCACAGGGATGAAGCCTGGTCTATAATCTGAGTTTTAGGCTTCAGCATGAGTTGGGTGCCTGCTGAAAATCAACAAGGAGAATTTATTAGAGGGAAAGAAACCATTACAACTCAAAGAATCACCGCTCTCTGTGTTTTTACTTTAACGTTTAGAAATCCGGACACAACTTTGTTCGTTTTGTCTTTAGCTTCATCAAAGTTTAGTTCTTCCTGCTCTACTCCAGAAATATTCCACCTCCACTGCTGGAGAACAAAATTACCATCACCCTTAATGCTCCCAGCATCCTCAGGGGCAGTCGTCCTGACTTTCAACACTTTATTCTAATTACTGGTTCACTCAAATTGGCTTTGAGTGAACCAAGAAAACTATAAAAACAAAGCAGGTGAGCCCACCTTCACATCTAAAACAAACTCTCATGTTCTCATAGTGAAACAAAACATGTCTTGACTGCCTGGTTTGGATTTACATTTAATGATAAGTGGATAAATGTTTTATTTGGTAATGTTTGCAGACTCTCTTCAGCTGTTAAATGAATAATCTGCCTTAACAACCATGAATGGAGCGATCGTTTTTCTCCAGGTGTATGATCACAATCCATTGATTTTCTTTTTCATGTTTGATGTAATTAAATAACTGTTTAATATTAAAACAATTTTACTGTCTTTTTTTCATTTATATAATAACCATGGCTAGAAAAAAAGAGTCCTTTTCTACTAACACACTCTTACTACAGGTCTCATTCATTAACACATATTCATAAATAACTTTTTTGCCAAACATTCATACCCTTTGATGTATCTGGGTCAACTTGTAGTTTAGTATCTTGATCAAGAACACTTGGTAATGCTGACGGGGAGTCGGGGATCGAACT